TCCATAGAAACTAATGGGAAGCTGCTATTCTGCCTTCGACCACTAGAGGGGGATATTTTGTTTCTTTTTTTCTTAGGTCAAGAAAGGTTCAGGGAAGGCAGGGAAAATACAGTCCAGGCAGTACCAGGCAGTCTGAAGACTCCCAATCCACTCTCTAAACGCTGGGAGGAGTGAGGAAGCAGACAGGCACCCTTTTCACTGGCCAACAGTTAACTGAAAGTTCACATTTTGCACTTTCCCTGCCTCCCAGGCGGGTTTTTTTCAGTTCTTAACTCAAATCTAAGTACTTAAGTCAAGTCAATATTTTCCTGTGAGAGCGGTTCTTAAGTCAAAAAGTTCTTAACTCAAGCCGTTCTTAAGTCAAGACCCCACTGTAGCGTGTTCTTGGGCTGCTTCTCCTGTGAGCTTTCTGCTGGGAGGTGGAAGGCTGCAGCTCCACCTCTTCCTGCCTGCTGGTTTACCTGGAAGTTTTTTTTAAAAGTATGAGTGCTTGAAAGCACTGGCAGGAAGTGGGATGGAGTAGTGTTTATGGCCACCTGGCTTTGGCAAGCAGGTCAGTTTTCAGGTGAGTGGCTACCCTGAGGCAGCAGCATTGGCCTCCGTGCTCAGCCCTCCCTTCAAGTAACCGTTGGGTTTTTGTGGCTTGGAGGGAGGGCTGGGGTTCCCACAGGCTCCTTTGTCCCAGGGGCTTGCCTTCACCTTCCAGATAGTTGGTGAGGGCGTGGAGGGCATTCACTATAATTCGCTTTTTTTCTCAGCATCTAGGGGAGCTTGGAACCAATCCCCCATGGATACCGGGGTCCTACTGTACTTGTTTCAGTAGGATTTAACTACTGTTCATCGTTCATCGTTGTTTAGTCGTATCCGACTCTTTGTGGCCCCATGGACCCCATGGTCTAACTACTGTTAGAGTCTGCTAAAGTACTTAGCCTTAATGGTTTTTATTTTTGGCTATTTTTGGCTAATCTTTGTTTTTTATTGTTCTATGTTCATGGCTTTTTAATTTTTCACAGGGAGGGTAATAAAGGTATTTTTTATATTTAGTTCATCTAAATATGTAAAATGACTTTTTTTATTTTATGCTTCTCTATACTTTTTAGCTTGCCCATTCCTAGTGAGCTGAAGAGAGAATCCTGTGTTCCAAATGTTGCTAAATCTCAAGGAAAGCATGGGTCAGCGCCATCACCACAGCCAAAATTCCTCACCCAGCACCCTCTACAAAAGCAGGGAAATAGTACAGATCAATCTCAGGATGTACAGAATCACACCGCCAATGGATTAGTAACACAGGACCAGTTGGACTGTAGGGACAGCACGTTGTCAATTCATAATGCTACTTGGCCTATTCAAAATGACAGTGCTTCATTTAACAGTGGTTTGGTAAATGGAGAAAGAAAGAGCACTAGCACAGATTCATTGCAAACTATGATGGCCTGCAAAGGACAAGCAGTCAGTAGCTGCTGCCGGACTCCAAGTGTGAATACGTTTTCAGCTGGAAAAGAAACTATAGAAATAACTACAAATACAGAGGATAAGCAGGTTGAAGAGCACAATAAGCCAGATCCAAGTATGGAGACAAAGGTAAAGCAATTGATTTATTGTGAAAGTGAGATATAAATTACCATATTAAAATAAAATGCACATTGTATTCTTCAAATAGAACAGCCTTCAAATCCATATATGTTGTTTATTTTTTGTCTTGATGTTTACGTTCCTATAATTATAAAACAAATCTGCAGCTTGAAGAGTACTTTGTAGAAATCAAGAAAATTGATGTTTTCTTCATTAATCTGCATCTTTTTCCACTGTACAAAAGTGACAGATAGATTCTGTCTATTGCATCATAAAAGAATTTGAAATATACCCCCTACTGTTTTGCAGATCATGTATGTCTCTTTGTGTCTAATTATATTTCCTGTGGAGCCTGTTTTCTTTTTATGCAATATAAAAATAATTATTTTTATGTAAATATGAACGGTTATGTAAGTGTGTAGACAGGAGAACTGGTCTGACTACTAATTTGGATGTGGAATTGTAAGAGGGATTTGGGTGATGATTTTCCTCCAAAAGGATATTCTAGCTGTGTTTGAGTTTGTTTGGGAATTCCAATGTACTTTTGTACATAAAAAGTACAGAAACATTACTTAGCATAATGGCTGGGAAGATTCTTTTGCCCTCTCATGTGTATACACCTTTGTACATTGTGTTGAATGCCAATCTACATAGGAAGCACATTAAAATTATGAAATGGTTTTTGGCAGTAGTGTACAGGACAAGGCAGGGTAAGGGTTGTGGTGCAGTTACATTCTGGAAAGAAGTTGCCCAACCCTTGAGAGAGCAACAAAAAGAAGCACTTCACTCTCAGCCTTTATATACTGGAAGACCAGCTAATGTTGTATCACACAGCCTCTATACATTGCAACTTCTCTATGGGAGCTGCTTTCCCCATCCCAATTTATTTCATGGCTCTGCTTGCCTCTCTAAATAAATAGTCTGTAGCCACATGGGTATGACCGTTCCTATGGCTCTTTCCCAGGAATTGACATTCCACTGGGAATTGGTGTGCCATATAGAGGGACTGTAAAGTGGGAAAGAAACCAAATAGGAAAATAAAACATTGGTACATTCTGCCATACAAGAAGTGGTCACAAAGGAACAATAAACGGTATTTATTATTCTGTACCATGATATCTCGCTGTGACTCTAGAATACAAAATCTTCTAGTAAGGTGGACTTTTCTCTCATGGAGTTCAGTGTTCATGTCTGGTGGATTCTTTTATCCAGCAGTGGACAATTTGTTGGTGATGTATGATGAGAGGTGCAGTTCAGTTATGTTTGGAAGACTACAAGTCATACCCTAATCCTAACTAGCATTTTGAATCATTGGCTAGTTGCATATAATTCAAAGTCAGTCTTTAAATGGAATAGAAATACTGTATGAAGGATGGATTGAAGATGCTTTAGAACTGGAAGAAATATAAGTAGGCAAGTATGCCTTGACGTACATTTGGTGTGAGCTTTATGAAGCTGTTTGTCTCATCTACTTGCACAATAATAAAATTCTCGGACGCGTAATAATGGACTAGAGAAGGTTGGCTAATTGAGTGTAGCTTGTATAAGGAGAAAGAAACACCAGGGGATAAGTCTAAGAAAATTTTTCTTGTGCATATTTTATGCAATTCTGGGGTACTTACAAAAAAAGAGGTTTTGACACAAAATTTTGAAAGAAGGATAGAAGTAAGGCTTGTAGACCTGGCCAAGAGGGCATTTCGTTTGCCTGACCATGAGGTGCTGCCTCTTTGCCTTGGCTTTCTGTACATTTGGATTCAGAAATATTCTGAATGTATCTGAATTTGATAATTCCAAATATCTGTAATAATAATTCATAATATCCTGAGTCCCATTTATTCTTACAGATTAGAAATCAAAAGGGTGGGCTTCTACTAGCTAGAGGAAGAAGTGAAAGTGAAACCTATTTCTCAGGCATCCTAGAGTGATTTCCTGAGAAATTTAATTTAGACACTGTGACACAAGTGTACAGAGGCAGAGGTGTACATGTAGGAGCCCCGCAAGCCAAAAGGGAATGGTCTCTTGTCTTAATTGGCTGAGGAAAAGTCTGTTTGGGGAGGTCTGGCCAAGTTGATAGGGGGATTGCTCTCTTGCCCAACAACTAATGTGCTATCAGGCAGCAAATGTTGTCAGTCCACACTCCTCATACCTTGGACCTGGATCTGTAGAAAAACGTATTTTCCTTAAGGTCAAACTATATGTCCATTACTGTCATTTCTTAATGCTTAGGCATTGCGGGCTGTTTGTTTGCACTCTTTGTTTGGCATAATTATTGGGAAGGTGTCAGAGGACACAGAGAAATTCTTTAAAATGTTTTGCCTTTTTGTGTTTTTTGAAAGAGGAAAATAATGATTATATAGTATCATATTGACTGTTAATGAAGTTCCAGATATTTGGACATTCCAAATGTTTAAAATTCCAAATCCAAAGGGTTGTAAATCTGAATTCCAAAGCCAGATTCTGAATTTGAATTCCGATGCTATGCTAATAACTAGGGATTTTTTTTTTTAAACTAGGGATTATTAGTTCAGGAAAGACTTCTTCTAAATCATTCATTTTGTGCTAAGCATATTAACATGGTTACAAAGGAAAAAGTAGAATCTGTGATCTGCAGATGTAGAAGTGTATCCATGCCCCATTTAACAGGTTTATTTTACTACACCTGAGAGAAATTTAGTTTAAATTTATGTGTTCTGAAAATTCAGAATTCCAGTTAGCCACCTAACTAGTAGTGTAGCTTGCACACTACATCATTCTTTCTGTTTCTTTTGTAATGTTAATCATAATTCTGCTATAATTTCCAGTACAATAAATCATAATTATTACTTATTTTCTCAGCTATGGTTTTCTGAAGCAAATCAGCTTCAAACTGTGGTTTATGCTTTTATGCTAACTTGTGAGAAACTAATTTAGGTTTATGTCATGTTTTTGAGCAGCAACAATAGCTGAAATCCTGTTGTTTAGAATAAGTCTCACAAGAGTACAACCATTGAATCAGTGGGAGTCAGCTCTTCTATAAAGTCCATTGATCCAAAAGGGCCTACTATACTTGTGACTGTGCTCAGCAACAATATTTCATCTAATGTATAATATAGTTCTATTCTTTGTCATTCGATTAGTTTCTACTATGGAATGGAGGTTTCCCCTCTACACACTGTTTTATAAATTATTTATGTATCATTTTTAATATGCAGAATTTAGTTGGCTTTTAAAAATCTCTGATTTCCCAGTACATGACGATATCAGGACCTTCTTCTAACTGTGAGTTTAGGTATACTGCTCATTTGGAGTGGGCTGGTGTGGTCGGGTAGAGTCATTTAATGTTGAGAAGAGGTCAGGTATGCCATATAGTGTGATTCTTGCATCCACATGGTATACAATCTTCAAGCAACCCTATTTGGCTTACCTCCATTAAGAAAAATAAATCAGATCCCATTGTTGCCCTTTCCTGCCCTCTCCAGCTTCTGGACAAAGCTTTCAGTTTACAGCTTCCCCCCAAATTAAGCATTGCCTTAATTGATTAGAAAACATTGCGTCATCCCCCTGCTTCTCCAAGGAACTTCCCAGTTTCCCAGTAGCAATAAGAAGCTAAGCTGTCTGTTTAAGCCAGTAATAATATTCGAAAATTGAAACCAACTAAGAAATTCATGCAGAAAGCTCCACTGGTTTGATCCCAATGATTGCATGTGCTGGAAACTAAACAAAACAGAGCAATCCTACCCACACCAAAAATAATCCCATTACAGGGATAGAGATGGGAATGCTTTGTAGACTGTAGGCTGCTTTGCTCTAGCTGTTACATTGCCTGGTTGCTGCCAAAAGTTGTGAACCACTCTGTCTCCTCAGAGGGTCAGGCCAAATACCCAAGTACAGTACTGTAGTTACCTTCGTGATTACTTATCACTTCCATACAGTGGGGTCTTGACTTGAGAACTTAATCCGTATTGGAAGGTGGTTCTCAAGACAAAAAGTTCTCAAGTCAAATCTGCATTTCCCATAGGAATGCATTGACAACCATTTGATCCGTATCAGCTCTCTTGCGTCCATAGAAACTAATGGGAAGCTGCTATTCTGCCTTCGACCACTAGAGGGGGATATTTTGTTTCTTTTTTTCTTAGGTCAAGAAAGGTTCAGGGAAGGCAGGGAAAATACAGTCCAGGCAGTACTAGGCAGTCTGAAAACTCCCAATCCACTCTCTAAACGCTGGGAGGAGCGAGCAAGCAGACAGGCACCCTTTTCACTGGCCAACAGTTAACTGAAAGTTCACTTTTTGCACTTTTCCTGCCTCCCACGTGGGTTTTTTTCAGTTCTTAACTCAAATCTAAGTACTTAAGTCAAGTCAGTATTTTCCTATGAGAGTGGTTCTTAAGTCAAAATGTTCTTAACTCAAGCCGTTCTTAAGTCAAGACCCCACTGTATTTATCTTCCCTCTGAGCCAGAATGAGGATTGCAGGTTACATGCTGTATTAAAAAAATTTATAGTGTTTATAAACTTACTTTTCTAGTAAAAATGTAGGAATTAAACTACCTCACGAAATTAATATTATATGTTTCTTCTAGGAGACGGATGAACAGAAATGTTATAAAATTGCCAGTGAGCTTTTGCAAACAGAAAGAGCATATGTCAGCAGACTTGCTCTCTTGGATCAGGTAGGAATTTTTCCTTCATGCTATTTGGTCAATACAGGAGGAAATGGCTACAATCATAGAGAAAACCTTATTTGACTATTGTCTGCTTTTGCATTAGCGTATGGATAATGACAAAAGAGTCTTACATGTTTGCACATGAATCTTCTGAATGTGTAATTGTTAATTCTTCCCTCCTCCTTTATATTCTATGAGTTCTTCTCATATAATATATCCTCCCTATAATTTCTACTTCTTACTCTTGGAGTTTTCTTTTTGGAGTACAGTATAATTCTCAGAATCCCACGGCCAACTTGACCAATTCACTAAATATATTGGGTTAAAACTGTATTAGGAGAGAAAAGGAAATATTTCTTTGTACAGGTAGCAATTCATGAATGCAATTCATGATAGCAGCTGTCTTAGATTATTACAGAAAGAGATGAAACAAAATAACAGAGGCCATAATGTCTTGATTAAGGAACATAGCTAGGAAAAATTAATGTTGTGAACTATGTTTCCCAGAATCCTCTAGTCACCTACTATGCTAGCTAAGGGATTCTAGGAACTGAAGTTCAAAGCAGAAACTTTTCCAAGATCTGATCAGGCTGTTATAACAAGATCAACAGATGTGAAGGATATTGACTTCACTATACCACTTTCTTATTCAGGAATAAGGGCCATTCCCTCCCTACAGTTCTCAAACTTGGGAGAGACTTGGTCACAACTAGTATTGAAACAACCTTGGATTGCAAATTAGAGTGAAAAATATTCCATTTTAGCCTCTTAAGCTCAGTGATGACTAATAACTTAACAAAAACGACTGTGAATTACTCATATCCCTTATTGGAGTGATAGAACTCATTTAGGTTCCAGAACCAAAAAAATGTGTTTGCCATTTAAATGTCACCCAACCCACAAGTTCCTACTCTGCTTTCCTGATTCAGTACCCTCCTTTTCTTCCTCTGATAATACACGGTTTATTTTACTAATGCTTGCACATTTTTTGTCATATGTTGTCTGTCTGCTGGGAATATTCTTTGCTGCTACTCTCTCCATTGTTAATCCCCCGCTTTCTAGGTCACTGGATCATGAGTTCAGTTTTGGTAGAATGTATCCATTTTTCTTATTTAACAAGCCCCTCCTTCCCTCCCTGTTGTTGTCTTACATTGTGCAGATTAAATGTAAGAAACTCCACATAGCTGCCTTTCATAGGGTATAAATATGACATTTATTATTACCTTCAAATTGCTCATTTGTCAAATTCCCTTGCTAGTATCTTACTACATCTTTCAGCAATGCCAATTCCTGCTGTTGCTTTCGATTTTAAAGGAAGCTGTAGGTGCTAATCTGTATTTCAATTCACATAAGTTTTGTACTTGAAAGTTATCACTCTACTACCTTCTTGCTAATATGTAATAGCACTGCTGTGTCCCTGTGATGTTTTAAACATTATCTTTGACTTCTTACTCTCTTCAACTTCACAACTCTTTCCCTAGTCTCTTCTCAGATATCTGGGTACTCTTTCCTATTTCCTCCAACCATCTGCCTTGTGACCCTTGCCCATCGTAGCCTTTTGGTCTCCTGGTCCTCCAGCCCATAGACCCTTCCTGAGGCTTCTCTCATTGGAATTCCCATTTTCAATTTACTATTGCCATTTTTATTTTCCTCCAGCTAGTCCTTTCCAATTATCTTTCTTTTCAATCCCTGTTAAGTCTTGCCTTGTATTCACTAAATATTTCATATTATGTCTTGGATTTAGACATAACAGAGAGCTGCATAGAGGCTGTTATGAGGAATAATGAATATCTTTGGAATCAATCTTAATGAGTCCTAGGCTCACACATTCCACCCTTTCCTTGAGCACAGCCACAAGAAGAGACCAAATATTTGCTCACCCATTTTAGATTAACTGCTTTTTATCCTGTCATATGACCCTAACAAATTGAGGTTAATTGTTAACTATGGTTGACTTCTTTGTACAGTAGTTGGCTTGTTCAATAGATCACAGGCAAGATTTACTTCAGTCTGTTTCAATTTATGTACATATAACAGGCTGCAGCGATTCTAAAATTGAAGGCAAAACATGCAGGCCTTCTGCTCATAAGCTGTGCTAAAGAAGGGCACAAAGAGCATGTGAACCCGAGGTTTTAGCTCACATTGAAAAGTTTCTAAACACTGGGGATTCAAGAGGCAGAAACACAGTACAGTATAAGTGATAATATTCAGAATTTCTGTTTTTATATTCAGATTTCTGTTTATTGTATAAAAGAGCATATTGGTATGATAGAAACCATTTTGTAATCCAAGTAATATAAACAAGGAACACAAAAAGGTTAGTATGACGATCAAGCATATTTTGCCAAGGCAGTATGTGAGTTAAAAATTACAGCGATAGGGATGAATATTGGGGCAGGAACTAAGTGATTAAAAGTACAAATGTAAAAGAGTGCTTGGAAGAGGAACTGGCTTATTTGTTTGAAACTTGAGACCCAACACATAGCTTGCTTTCTTTTCTACAAAAGAGTGTGATTGTGGACTAAATTATGTTACTAATGTGTTGTTTCTGAAGTATCTGAAAATAGGTAATATTATAACAAAGGAAAGCTTTTTTTCTTTTTCTGCAGATTAGTTATAAATTCCTGAACAACTGAGGGTTTCCCCTTCCCTGTATTGTTTTGATGATTTTAATAATTGCATGTGTTATGGTTGACTATCTTGTTGTTGTTAATTCATTTCAGGTATTTTATAATAAACTTATGGAAGAAGCTAGTCGGGGTTCATTTCCTGCTGAAGTTGTTAATAAGATCTTTTCAAATATTTCATCCATAAATCAGTTTCATAGTCAATTCTTGCTGCCAGAGCTTGAGAAAAGGATGCAGGAATGGTAAGCATTGTTGCAAATTATTGAAGGCCATACTGTGTGAACTTAATACAAACCACATTTGTGCCCAAGGGAGATTCTAGGGCTCCGTATTAAAGGGAGAATCTAAGATCACTGTCATATTGGGACACATCATATTAATGTCACCACAAAGAATGTAAAATTATTGCTCTGGAATGATCCAGACAATTAGTATCTTAATAGAAGAGTTCAGTTAGTACAGATTGGTCTAGGCAAACTATCTTAGGCAAATGTGCCCTCTCCATTCTTTGTCTTCCCTGAGATAACATTTTGCAGGACTGGAATAAATGTATATATATGATGTGTTTTCTTTAGTAGTGAGACTGCAGTCATTAATCAGCTACTAATTAATAAACAAGAAGATGATCAATGTATTCTCGAAGGCTTTCACGGCCAGGATCTGATGGTTGTTGTGGGTTTTTCAAGCTATTTGGCCGTGTTCTGAGACTGGCGAAACATCAAGAAGAACAACCTTCAGAACACATCCAAAGAGCCCGAAAAACCCACAACAACCAACGAGAAGATAATCGTTTAATGATGAGGCTGTGAATTAAAGAAATATATGTAGGGGTTTGGAGAGCTTTAGTTCAATATGTTGCTGAAATGGAAATTAGAGAGAAAATACTAAATAAGGCCCTGATTTAAATAAACTAAATAAACACCCCATATTTTGTACTTCCCCCTTCTTGGTTTTTCTTCATCCTTTTCCTGGGTTCTGGAAAATGGAGGAGAATTAGGGTTTATTTGTAATTATTGGATGGTGCTGATTTGTACACTGTGAGAGGAAGGGTATTGTGCATTGACAAACATAATTTATTTTGTATAATATGATGTAGCTTTTAAAGAAAAATGTTAATAAATAAAAATTTTACAGTTCAAATCTATTAATACCTCAGAAAGTCCTTATTCAATTACTGTGTTTCCCTGAAAATAAGTCCTAACCTGAAAATAAGCCCTAAGGATGCTCGTAATATAAGCCCTAACCCAAAAATAAGCCCCAGTTAAGTGAAACCCTGTCTTCCACCATTGTGCAGCAACCAAAAGAAGAGGATGTGACTGTATTTGCATGAATGCAGATTGTTGTACATAAAAAAATTCCCTGAAAATAAGCCCTACAGTGTTTTTTGGAGCAAAAATTAATATAAGACCCTGTATTATTTTGGGGGGAAACACGGTCAATGTTAGATGATGAATTAAAAATAGAGATGGGCATGAACCAGTGCTTTGTGACTTCTTACGAACCATGAACTATTATGAACTCCCCAAAAAACAAAACGGCGAGCACATGCGCAGAGACAGCAGTCCGGCTTCCCTTCTCAGAGCTGGCTGCTGCCTTTTTGTATGCTATGCGCTTGCTACCCAACTGCATCCCGCAAAGGGAAGGGAGGCCAGCCTGCTGTCTCTGACAGCAGCAGAGGAAGTGGCAGGACCAAGTAGGGAGGTGGCAGTAGCAATGGGAAGGGGATGGGCGGGCAGCCGTTTAGCAAAAGCAGAACCAAGTGCAAAGGGGGAAAAAAGGTTTTGGCGCTTTGTTTTGCTTCAGCAGAACAGGATACCTAAGCAGGGTTACAAACTGAACCATGAACCAGCCTGATTTGTCAAATTTTCTGGTTCATGGTTCGGTTTGTGGCTTTCTCTAATTAAGAATTTTTCAATCACTAAGCAATCTTATTGAAAGGGCATAACAGTTCTTACTTGGGTTTCTTTGCATTTTCAACTAAGCATGTAAAGAAACACCATCTGTGGGATTTTCCCAAGTAAAATGTTGGATTGTATGTCTAGCACGCAAGAGCCTGGCTTGTGCAGGAGTAAATTGTACTGTTGTCAGGCAGTACTCACTGCTCATTAGCACACCATCTAAAACAGATTGATTTGGGGACAAAAGGCCAAGCTTATAACTGCCGGACAGCTTCTGTTTTCTAAAAATGTGTTATCTTGAAATAGTCATGTGTCACAATGACTAATATAAGTATATTTTAAGTCATTTTGAATTATGTCCAGCATTAGAAAAACTTCAAAGGCAGCTCAACAACTTCAAAGGAGATTGCTCTCTTCAAATTATTTATCCTGAAAAATAAGGGGTGTTGCAATTTTCTAGATGTCGGGTTTGGAATAGTTTGTAGGTATAGTATGTGAAGAAGTTCTCTGTATGATCAGTATAGCTTTTTTGAGTATTTCGTGAGGAATATCTTGAAAAGAAATGCCATTGATGGGGTCAGGAAAGATGGAACAGCTCCTGGGTATGCATGGTATCTTTTGAATAAGTGTCTTGAACAGGATAATAACCTGTTCTTGTTTTAGGAAGCATAGAAGAACAATAGTTTGGGCCTTCATCTTACATCATTTAATTAATAAAATTATTAAGAGTCTAACTAAATTGATCTTTGCAGCCTTCATAGAGTTTTCGTCAGCTTTTGATTTGATAGATTGGGAGCACTTGTGGCACGGATCAAATATCAGTAGAAGATTCCTGTGCCTTATACAGCACAAATTTTATATTAATTACCTGATCCCTGGAATGACTTCCCCTTCCTTTTTCCTCCAGCTATTGGCAGTTGCAAGATCGAAATTTTGCTTTATGCAGATGATTTGATTTTGTTATCCCTGAATAAAGTTTACCTTAAAAGAATGTAAACTAAATTTGGTCAGCTCTTTAAAGATGAATAAAGATGAATTGTAATGAGGGTGAAAGAGGAGAGTGCAAAAAATGGCCTAAAACTCAACATCAAAAAAACTAAGATAATGGCCACTGGTCCCATCACCTCCTGGAAAATAGAAGGGGAAGATATGGAGGCAGTGACAGATTTTACTTTCTTGGGCTCCATGATCACTGCAGATGGAGACAGCAGCCACGAAATTAAAAGACGCCTGCTTCTGGGGAGGAAAGCAATGACAAACCTTGACAGCATCTTAAAAAGCAGAGACATCACCTTGCCAACAAAAGTCCGAATAGTCAAAGCTATGGTTTTTCCTGTAGTGATGTATGGAAGTGAGAGCTGGACCATAAAGAAAGCAGACCGCTGAAGAATTGAT